TTGCCTGTAGTTCCTGTGTTGAGGCAGCTGAAATAATAATGAACCAGAGCAAATAACACTAACCCGTAGAGGGGTATGTCCACTGTTTGGTGCTGCCCCAGACTGTGTTATGAAGAACTATGTTAGCAAGTGTCTAGAAGAGGGAGACTTTGCCAGTGATGTTGAACTACCGAGCAGAATTCAGACAAAACATGAAAAAATTGCCTGTAGTTCCTGTGTTGAGGCAGCTGAAATAATAATGAACCAGAGCAAATAACACTAACCCGTAGAGGGGTATGTCCACTGTTTGGTGCTGCCCCAGACTGTGTTATGAAGAACTATGTTAGCAAGTGTCTAGAAGAGGGAGACTTTGCCAGTGATGTTGAACTACCGAGCAGAATTCAGACAAAACATGAAAAAACAGTAGGCCAAGCCTGGCTCAAATTTAGTTATACCACAACAAACATCCTCAAGATACAGACAGCAAGCAGCAGCATCACAGCAGAAAGCAAACATGTAAGGAAAGCAGAGCAGTTCATAAACCTGGGCGGCATTGTACTAGCTAACGGAGACCTTGAAGGAAGCAGCATTTAGATAGGAAAGGCGTCCCCAACAGTTACTAAATTGAACATATCGAAATCAAAGAGATATTAGGGAAAAAAATCCAAGATATGTCAGAACAAATGTAAATGTAATCTCAATTTAAATGTAATCTCACAATAACATATGGCTGCAAGAGCTGGAGATCTACCAAAATGCTGGCCCGAAATCTAGAGTCCTTCAGAGCCTATGAAAGATCTGGGCCATTGGATAGAAAGACTTTACCCACAAAGATCAAAGAAATCACTTTGAGTGTAGGAAGGGAAGTACAGTAGATAATCCTTAATTGGGTTATAGGGAAGTTCAGTGTAGGGGAGGGGGCCAAAAAAAAAAAGCTAAAGCTTGTCACCTAATTCATGAAACTCCTTTTCTTGGAATCTTTCATAAATCATCTTCTGCAATGGTGTGAAAGTGAATGTTGCTTGTTGGGTAGGTACACTTATAAAAACTTCTGTGATAAAAATGTCATAATTTGCATACAGTACTTCTGAACCTCATGTAATTGTTTTTATTCTAGTTAAGTAATTTTCCAGATTTAATTGCAGATGCTTTTAAAACTAACTATATACAGAAAGTACAGTGCTCTTATGAAATGCAGCATTTAAAATGCCTTTGAAATGATTTTAAAAGGACTAAATTACATGTGTTTGGTTTTACGGATCTACAACGTACAGTACATGCTGACACCATGAACAAAAGCTGGCCAGTCTGTCTATGAACAGCGTGCTGTGGTATGCAATGTCGTGGCACTTAAAGAATTTAGTGAACCCTGTGTGAAGTGCATAAAAGACATTGTTTATCATTTCACCATGAAGTTATATTGTGTCTGCGAAGTGTTCAGTACAGTGCAGAAAGTGAATCTTTCCAGACTTCAAGACCACTGTTGTCCATCTGCAGTGATAGTGGGTACCTGACTTGGTTACATTGTTGGAAGTTACATCAGTGACTTAAAATCATAATGGATGTGCAGTGATGCTCAGTGGGTTTCATCTTGCTCTGAGTTTCTTTTGTGATAGACTTTTTTATGTCAGGCTTTCTTTGCTAAGGCATAGTAATTTGATGTTGTCTGGAAAGTCCTTTATAGAATTCAGTAGGGAAACTCGGCTTAACATTAACTCTTTCACTGCTAGGCACACCCTCTTACTTTTTGTTTTTTTTCTGGTGTGATTAATCATTGTAGTCTGGAATGTCAGCATGTTCCAGATACGTGGAAGTAGCACAGACAATTTCTCTATTACGTGCACTCAATTAACATCAGAAAAGTCAAAGCAGCTCAGGGAGAAATCCTAATGGAATTCTGTCCCTTTAAATGACCATAGTCAAAGTGTATGTAACTCCTTCCTTTTCATCACTTGGGAGGCTGGTACTAGGGATGTTAAAAAGCAGTTAATTGGGTAACTGTTACTACTGATAAAATCTTAGCTTGATACTTCAGAGGCAGCAGAGCGGGGCTGGGAGCCGGCATCTAACCGTTGCAGTAACCGATAAGCTCATGCTTACAGTGTTTAAATGGTTATCCCATTACATCCTTTGCTGATACTGAAATCAGTTTCTCTACCAAAATGTTTGATTAGATTTGCTTGCTGTCTTATCTGTAAAGCGTGATCCCTGGGCTATTGGCATATGTATCACATTAATATGCACTGAAATGGTTTTGCATTTTGGAAGGGAAAAAAATCCACACAGATTTACACACAAGCTTTCCATATCAGTTGGTAGTTATATACATATCTTTGAAGTAATGGCTTTAAGATTATTAAACTTTAATGACGCTGGAAGCTGAAGAATAAAGTATCGGGGAATGCAAACCTTTTTTTTTAAAATTTTTTATTGAGATGTGATTATGCTGTGTTCATAATCTAAATAAAAACTTAATTATTGAATTCAGTCTATGACAAGCGTATAGGATTGTGACTGAAGAAATAATATTGCAACTGACTGGAATGAAAGCAAATTAAGGTCACAGTTGCTGGTTTCTTTAGACAACCAGAAAGCATCACAACCGTGTTGCAACATACTATTAACAGGAACCTGACAGGTGAAATGGTAATTTATCTAAAATTCTAGATGTGAGTACTCAAAACAGATTTTTTCATTAAGCCTACAGTCTTAGTGGAGCTTACAAACCACTTAAGTATTGCAAATTGTGCCGCAAATATTATATTTAAAGGTGTAAGTTAATGATTAGAAGGGTCAGGAAGGAACTCGGCATGTGGCATTTCAAAGGTTTCCAGGAGCTTTGGAGGATTTTTGCCTTCCTCTGAAGCATGTATGAAAGACTGTGCTAAGTATTTCCCTGGGGTATTAGGCACTACTGGTAGCATAATAGATTGTCTAATTCAGTGTGGCATTGCTTACTGTCTTAGAGACAGATCTCTAAATGCTCAACTTAAAAGAGCAGCAGAAATACTTCGTGGTTAGTTAGTTGTTCTTTTCCTTCAAAACATGTGTATTGTCCTTGTTAATGCACACTCTATTACTTGAATATTTTAGATTGTATGTGTTATGACTAAGACAGTTTTTTTTTTGTTCTTGTCTTGTAGGACTCTGTTGGATTGAGACCAACAATCCAATTTCAAGGAAACCAAGGGGTAAGTTTGTGTCTGGGTCTGGCTGGGAGGCTGTCCCATGAGGGTAAATACCTATTGCTTAGAAATTAATGTGTCTGGTATTTGTTCTGGGTTCCAAAATGGATTGGATACATTAACGGAGAATGTTTTGGCCAAGATGGTCAGGGATAGAACTCCATGTTCTGGGTATCCTTACGCCGCCAACTGCAAGGAGTTAGGACTGGACAACAGGGGTGGATCACCTGAAGTTACCCTGTTCTATTAATTCACCGGAAGTATCTGGCAACTGCCTCTCTCAGAAGATGGGATAATGGATGGACCGTTAGCATGAGCCAGCATATCCAAGTCTGCCTTAATTGGTGATTGTCACAGGGCCCTGCGCCCCCATGCACAGTCCGATGTGTGTCTCATCCAGCAGGTAGAACAGAAGGCTTATTCATGGACCGAGAACCTAGGTAGAACAGACTTGTCAGCACAGAAACCAGAATCAGGCTGTATAATCCAAGGCCCCTCACCCCATCCCTGCACCTTGAACCAGCCGAAACTAACCCACGCACCTTCAGCTGAGCTCCTCCTAGCCTCTGTCCCACATCCCTGGCAAAAGGTGTCACCTGGTCACACCTCCCTCCCAGGATTAGGTTACAAAAGGCATCAGTCATTATGTACCAGTGGGAGGCAATTGCATCAAAATTCTCATCACCATCTATGTATTGGTGCAGTGCCTGGAGAAACTGAGGCACACACATGGGGTTGCTACAGGACAGTGGAACTCACATGCAACATCACAAGAGGAATACAATCCCCACTTTGTCACAGAGATATCATCTTTTTTTTTTTTTTTTTTTTTTTTAAGCATTGAGTTGAGCGTTGAGCATGCACAGTGTTGGCCAAGTAAGAGCATTGTGTGTTTCTACATGGACTGCTTTTCCTTAATTTACCACCATTGATTATCACTGGTAGCCATGGTGCAGCATGTTAAAGCCTGCATGATGCCAAGAAGAATGAGGAAACCAAAAATACAAGCGATACTGTGATGTATGATAAGTGTAGCAATTCATGGAGGCCTTACCTCTTCCCTGGGGAAACACCTCATTCAGCCTGACAGCCTGATGCTGCATTTTGAGGTGTGAATAGGGTAGGAATGGCAGAGCTGGTAGATTGCATTATTAATGCACTGTGAAACTGAGCTTGCTATATGGTTCCAAGCAACTGTGTAGCTCCTGTGTTGAAGACACCCCAAAGTTTTCTATTCAGGAGTCCTTCATAATTTCTCTTCTTGCTGAATTTGTCACATGTTTATGGAAGCATTAAACTTGGCTTATTAGGTTACTGACAATGGAAGGGCTTAATTTCCATGATCTCAACTAAAAGTAACTCAGTACTTTGATATATTTCAAAGCTGTCACTTATGCTCTTTAAATACAAAAGCGGTTATTTTTAACTTTGGGACTCTTCAATGGAGAAAAGAAAAATAATTTCTCATCAATTCGGCTGCTCAGATCTTGACGCACTCCTTTGTATCGAAGCATTGCATGAGTCTTACAATTGAGTCATCTTAATTTTCATGTGTTGGCATGTTTAGGCACAGGAAGGAGAGCTAAGAACTGAGTAGCTGCCTTAATATTCTATATCTTTGGTTTCCTTTACATTATTTCCTTTTAAAGGACAATTCTACTCTAAATGGCTCTGTAAGTTCCCTTACTGGGTATGTGCTGTGCTGCAGTTAGAGACCCGTGTCTGGCTGCTGCCAGTTGGATTGCGCTAAGGGCTGTTTAATTGCAGTGTAGACGTTTGGGCTCAGGCTGTAGCACAAGTTCGGAGACCTTCCAGCCTTGTGCCAGCCCATGCCCTAACATCTACACTGCAATTAGAGGGCCCCTTAGCCTAAGCTGTGGGAGCCTGAGTCAGCTGCAATAGGGCAGCCATGCGTGTTTAATTACCATGTAGATATTCCCCCTCTGTCTTCATTCTAGATCAAATTTGGTCCACTTCCAGGATGACTTTTTTATTCCTAATTGCTGGAAGCACAGATTTATCCAGGTGTGTGTAACAAGCAGTGTTCTTTCTACAGACCGGGTTCTGACCTCATTGACATTGTATGATCCCATTTTCTTGGGTAGTTGCACAGCTGTAACTGAGCACTGTCTGTGGTTCCTGACTTAAAACTTGGGCTTGAAAATTTTGATTGGAGTACCTATGTGAGCTCCTAAATTTCATATTTAGTCACCTATATTAAAAGGGACCTCAGAGTGCTTGAATATCTGTAGGTTGCTGTATGACTTGTGAATTTAAGTGGTTTTGTTCTGAATTTACACCAGTGAGAGAGAATTTGGCCCTAAATAAAGAAAATGAACATATGGAGCCCAACTGGTAGACAAAAGCTGTTTTGAACAATTTGTTTTCTAAATAGAATTAACCACAGAAACAACAATAGCTGCAGAAGCAACAGTGCCTATTTATTATCCGTGATTACCAAGATGGTTCTAATACTCTGGTTTGAACACTTATTTTTGTAGCCAAATTATAAAAACTTCAGTTCCACCATTTAACTGAACCAGAGTTTATAAATAGCAGGGAAAAAAATGTGCATTTTTCGTCCAGGCATGCATGCAGTCATCAGTAGCATGCTGCTGAAACTATATGGAAAAGGAAACAAACATGAGCATAATAATGTAGCTCAAAAGACCATTGTGGGTAAAACAGGATGGGACCGTATATTTGTCAGATTTTTAAATTGCTTGTTTAAAAGCAATTTCTTTATTTAAAGGGCCCACTTTATGCCTTCAGATAAAATTTGCCTAGGAAAACTGCTTTTCTTTTTAAGAGGAACCTTGTCAAATGTATGTTTGGCTCCTTCTCATTAGCCACAAAAGAATACAGACCTCTCCCTGGATTTCGTAATCCGGGTTTGTACCTACGTCCACAGCATTTTCATTTTAAATATTTCTACACTGCATCATTGGCTGCGGGATTGGTCGGCAGGTTCTGGGAGCCTTTCCTGCTGCTGCCAGCTAATCCCAAAAGGATGCTGATCTCTAACCCGAGGGAGTCTTTGGGATGGTGGGTTGTACAGTCCCTCAATAGAAGTCTGACTGTCATCTTGTACTAATCTTAAACCTCCATATTGTTATGAGGACATGATTTGCTTCTGCGATGTGGTTGAATAGTGAGACCGGTCTATCATGGCCTCCCAGTGAACGGATAGGGATTGGTTAAGTGATGGAAATGGCAGTTCTCACAAAAATTCAAATAAATTAAATGTGAAATACTGTCAAGGCCAAATCCCCACTCTGGCATGATGAATGCAGAAGTGGGGGCCTGCAAAAGTACCCCAAAACCTTATCTTACCAGGCTTTGGCATAAAACTACCCCCCCCCCCCAAATTGTAAAAACCTAGATTTTGGGGATAAAAATCTGCTGCCACCGCCCAAGTAATAAGAAAACCAGTGAAAAGATCACTTGGGAAATCTCCGCCCCAAAGGAAAACCAGGACACCAAAATTAATCAATATCCGGTTAATAAAAAAAGAAAACTTTTATTATCACCACGATACTCCTGTTACAAGCATAATGACTAAAAACCAGGACACCAAAATCAATCAATATCCGGTTAATAAAAAAAGAAAACTTTTATTATCACCACGATACTCCTGTTACAAGCATAATGACTAGATGGAAAAGTCACCAATTAATATACTCATGGGGGATCCTCATGGGCCAAAAGCTTAGTTACAAACGAGAGGAAAACCTATTTTTAAATGCATATACAGATTCCCATTCCCAAACCATAAAACAATAACACCTAATGAATTTATCTAAACTTTATCCTACTTACAAATAGTGAGGAGTCTTTTCTTGGAGAGAGAGATACATGTCTGTCCCTGGGCAGTTTTCTCTCCAGATGCTGAGGGAGACAAAGGAGGGGAAAACCAAAAATTCCTTTGTCCCAGTTTGAAATCCCTATCTGCATTGTTTATTGTCTGACTGCTTCCTGGCTTAGGTACAGTTAACCCCTTAGCCCCCAGGCTGCTGCCTATCCCTCATGGTCATGACAAATACATATTTGAGAAAATAATTAGAACTCATACACCTTGTAGATGTATTTAACTGGATGCCCTCAGGAGAAGTGGGGTATTATCATGGTCCTCTAAGTAAAGCTGTCTGTTCAAATTGCAGCAGAAGCCAAAGCAAATGAAATATTAACTTGAATGGATTTAAGAAGAACACACACTGTTGTAACACATCCTAAAGGAGTCTGGCCTCCCTTGGAGTGTTCAGTCTTGGTCACTCGATCTGAGAGAAGATGTAGCTGTCTGGAAGGGATAGGGAAATGGGCAACAGGCATGAATTGGTGGCATAGAAAATTGCTGTCCTATGCAAATATAAAAACTAGGGACTTTTTTCTTTTAGAGCAGCGAAGAGAAAACATTTTAAAAATACACAAGAAATGGTGTAGAGACAAGAAGTAATTAATGTTGTTCTCTGATTTAAATTGGTGTGGTTCCTGTTGTATGTGTACATATGACTGGGTTTTTTTAAGTAACTGTCTGTCCATGCTATCCATGCATCTGCCACCTTCTCCTGTCTGAGAACATAGAAGATGGGGAGGCCAATACCTATCCCTTAGTTCCCTTGTGACAGTGAGTGTCCAACTTGCTGGTTCTTAGCTTTGGCTAAATTTCTTCAAACATTTCATAACATTCAGAACTCTTGAGTCACATGCCACTGCTGTCTACAATATCGGTCCATCTGGAATAAATGTTCAGTCAGACTCCTATGAAACCTGTGGACTTCACACACTACCTATCCTGTGATGGGCTAATTCTACTGAAAGACAGATGCTTCCAATGCCTCTTCTGCTGTGCTTGCCAGTCCCCTGCAGTGGAATCCACACTGTCCTGTATTTGAAGAGACAATGGCTACTTACTTACCCTACAGTGACTAGTTCTTTGAGAGGTGGTCCATGTGGATTTCCCAACATGTCCTCAAGCCCTGCTTTTCAAAGTCTTTGTCATTGGCTCT